AACTTTCACCATCTTAGGCGTTTCTCATTTTTCAGTTTCTATAATGAACATGAGCTATTTTCTAATCTGAAAGGGTTCTACAATGTATCTGATCAACTCCCAGAAGTGCACTAGAGTTTCCTGTGCTGTCAGTTTTCATGACTTTGAACCTAGAGACCATACCTCAGGCAGGACTGGTGGGTTTGTCTTTCAGACTGCAGCCCCCACCTGAGTGGGCACCTGAGACTCCTGGAAGGCTCCCAAGTCCCCCCAGGCGCCCCCCCCCCCACTCGGGTGCTTCTAGGGCAGCATCGGAGCAGGTACCTGTGTGGATGAGCTTCACGTGGCGCTGCAGGTAGCGGTTCGATCATGAAAACTTTGTTGCAGCCGGGTGGGGGCAGGGCCGCTCTCGGACCTCCTCGTGGTGTTCCTTAATGTGCTTCTGTAAAGGGGCCAGCGAGAGACCCGAGTGCCTCCCTGGCCGAAGCCCCACGCCCCACAGGCCCCCCAGTGTCCTCACAGGCGAGGGCTGAGCACCCTGGAAGGCGGGCAGATGCAGGTGCACCGCTCCACACCGCCGAGCCCCTCCGGAGTGAAGAGCTGGCTCTAAGTCACCCCGTCCCAGGCCGCACGCCTCCCTCAGCCCAGGCTCCCGCGAGTCCTGGGCCCAAGGCCACGCCTGGCTCAGCGGAGCCCAGGCTCACCAACACCGGGTGCCCGCGCCTCACCTTCATGCCGTCAGCCCCTCGGTACACGGCTGTGCGCCCGGTAAGGACACTTGTAGATGGTGGGCAGCTCCTCCCTGCAAGGACAGCTCGTGTGGCGGCGCTGCTGCCACAGGCAGGGCAGCCCCCCTGAGGACCCCTCACCTCTCAGAGCGCAGCTGCTTCTTCCAGCCGGGCTTGGGCCCGGGTTTCTTGCGGATTTTTGTGTTCTTCGGTCTTCTTGGCTTCTTTGCTTTCACTCTTCTTACCAGAGACCCTGACAACAAAGACCAGATGAGTGATGTGTCCAGGGTCTACTCGCAAACATTTCTCGTCCTTGTTTAAGAACAAGGGACAGGGTTTCCCTAAGCTTCCCTAACTGAGGGGCCCTGACTCCAGCTAGAGCCACCAAGCCATACCAGCTCTCGGTGGGAAGTTGAAGGCCTGGCCCAGCCCCTGGGAAGGTGGGGGAGAATGTACCCCAAAGGCGGAGGAGCGGAGTGCAGTGGAGAGGCACACTTGCACGGGGGAAGGGGTGCTGGCCGGAGACCGGAACACGGTGACCCAGGGAAGCTTTGGGGTCAGTCCCTTTACAATGACCGTGCGTGAGGAAACAGCTGAGCAGCCCCTCACTGGAGCCAGAGAGAGGCCTACTACGCTGCACACGCGATCATCTCCCACTTCCTTCCCAACCTGAATTCCCGGAGCAGCTGGCTAGGGCCGGAGTGGACAGTGGAGACCTTGGCCTCCAAGATTTGGGGTTGGCATTTTAACTAGTCTGTAGCTGACCCCAAGGAGGTCGAGCAAAAACTTAGTAAACGCACTTGTTCCTTTTTGAATCGAGACGTTTAGGAAAATCTGTTGGTAATAAAACTTGCTTGTCATGGGGAAGGCCACACGTAAACACCCACAGCAGGGGCAGTGCCACTGGGGACACCTGAGTCCCGTGTCAGAACCCTAGGTTCAATCCTGGTTCTACTCCCACCCCAGCTTCCTCTAATGTGCACCTAGGGAGGCAGCAAATGACGGCTCACGCACTTGGACTCCTGCTGCTGGGTTCAGCCTCGCCCAGCTCCGGCTGTGGCAGACACTGGATGGAGATTTCTGTGTCTCTCTCTGCTCTTAAAATAACAATTGGGGGGGGGGGAATCCCCAGCAAATACACTAAATTGTTAGAGGCTGAAAGCCTTTCCCTCTGAGAAGCCAAAGGAGGATGCCACTCTCACCCCTTCTGTCCCTCCCACACAGCACCAGAGGGCCTGGGCTGGCAATTTGCAAGAAAAAGAAAAAAATAAGCCGGCGCCGCGGCTCACTAGGACTAATCCTCCGCCTAGCGGCGCTGGCACAGCCGGGTTCTAGGCCCGGTTGAGGCGCCGGATTCTGTCCCGGTTGCCCCTCTTCCAGGCCAGCTCTCTGCTGTGGATAGGGAGTGCAGTGGAGGGATGGCCCGGGTGCTTGGGCCCTGCACCCCATGGGAGACCAGGAAAAGCACCTGGCTCCTGGCTCCTGCAATCGGATCAGCGCGGTGCGCCGGCCGCAGTGCGCCGGCCGCGGCGGCCATTGGAGGGTGAACCAAAGGCAAAGGAAGACCTTTCTCTCTGTCTCTTCTCACTGTCCACTCTGTGCTGTCAAAAAAAAAAAAAAAAAAAAAAAGGAACAGAGGAAAAGAAAAAATAGGAAAAGAATTCTCTCTCCCCACAGATTTCACAGATGACATGACCTGCAGGTATGAAAACCCTGAAGAATCCACCCAGAAAAAACCCTAATAAAAGAAATCTACACAAACTCAAACACTAACAACAAACAATAAAAAAGAAATTAGAAACAATGCGCTGGCCGGCGCCGCGGCTCACTAGGCTAATCCTCGCCTAGCGGCGACGGCACACCAGGTTCTAGTTCCCGGTCGGGGCAACGGATTCTGTCCCGGTTGCCCCTCTTCCAGGCCAGCCCTCTGCTGTGGCTAGGGAGTGCAGTGGAGGATGGCCCAGGTGCTTGGGCCCTGCACCCCATGGGAGACACGGAAAAGCACATGGCTCCTGGCTCCTGCCATCGGATCAGCGCGGTGCACTGGCCGCAGCGCGCCGGCCATTGGAGGGTGAACCAACGGCAAAAGGAAGACCTTTCTCTCTGTCTCTCTCTCTCACTGTCACTCTGCCTGTCAAAAAAAAAAAAAGAAAAAGAAAAAAAAAGAAAACAATGCGCTTAGAATAGCATCAAGAATAAAATGCTTCGGAACAAATTTAACCAAGAAAGGGAAAGACACAGACCTGGAAACTGTAAGCCATCTGACAGGGTGAGACAGGGAGTGGGAAGGCAGCCCGGGGCGAGGACAGGAGCGGGCACTGCTCAGCCGGCAGTGTGGCCCTGACGTGGCCCAGTCCCTGTGGTCCCTGTGGCAGTCGCGATGGGGCGAGGACAGGAGCGGGCACTGGATCACGCCAAGGACACACTGCCGCTGTCCCTGCAGTCCCGCGGGAGTCACGATGGGGCGCAGGTCTTCGCAGTGAGGTTAAGTCCACTTGGGGTCTCTGCAGCCCACACCGGAGTGCCTGACTCCTGTCCTGGCCATCCAGCTGCTCCACCCTGGGAGCCGGCAGGATTGGGTCCCTGCCACCCATGTGTGAACCTGAATTTCTGGGTTCCAGGCCCTTGGCTTTGGCCTGACCCAGCCCTGTCTGTCGCGGGCATTAAGAGAGTGAATCAGTGGATAGAAACCTGTTTCTTTGTGTCTCTGCTTCCCAAATAATAAGTACAAATTTTAAAGAAGCAATGAGAAATCACATCTAAGATTTAACATGGAACTTCAAGGTACACTGAACAGCCAAAACAAATTGAAAAACATACAAAGATGGAAGACTCAAATTTTCTATTCCCAAACTCACTACAAAGCTACACTAATCAAAACAGTGTGTTACTGGCGTTAAGGATGGACACAGGCCAATCCACCAGAACTGAAACCACACACTTCCACAGGGCCCCGAGCCGTCCATGGAGGAGCGGCGTCCCCACCCGGGACGCGGGACAGCTGCATTTCCCCGTGCAGAGACTGAGGCCGGGCCCCTCATACCGCACAAACATTAACTCGAATGCGTCATGACCGATCTAAGCGAGAACTGACTCTCACAAGAGCACACGGGAGCAGGTCTCGCGATCTTGGGTTTGGCACCCGTTCCTTCAGCCCTGACGCGGCACAGGCAGCACAAGTGAGTGCAGGCGGAATGGACTTCGCTTAGGCTGCCGGCTCCTGGCTTCGGATCGGCGCAGCTCTGGCCGCTGCTGCCAGCTGAGGAGTGAACCAGCAGAGGGAAGCCTCTCTCCTCTCCTCGTTCTCCCTTTGCTCTGTGTAACTCTTTCAAATAAATAAATCTTAAAAAACTAAATTTAATCCTTTGTATATCACTATTAACAGTGTGAGAGAAGGACCCTGGTGTCCCGGGTTCGAGTCCCAGCCCAGCGTCCTGCTGAAGCATGCAGTGGTGCTGACTCAAGCGACTGAGCTCCGGCCACCCACACAGGAGACCTTGGACTCGGTTTCTTGCTCCTGGCTTTAAGCCAAGCCCAGCCCGAGGCATCGTGGGTATCTGGCAAGTGGACCAGGGGATAGGAGTGTGTTTTCTTTCTCTGTCACTCAAAAAAAACACAATCCATAGGGAGAAGGAAGATACCTGTGATACAGTGGGTTAACCCCCGACTGAGCGGGCACACATCCTATGCCGGGGCCTCAGGCCCAAGTCCTCCCCGCTGCTTCCCAGCCAGCTTCCTGCAGGCGCCACCTGGGAGGGAGCACGTGGTCCCCTGCCACCCATGAGAGACCCAGGTGGGAACTGCGGGCTCCTGTTTCAGCCAGCCCAGCCTTGGTTGTTGCAGGCTTTGGGTGAACCAGCTGATGGAAGACCCCTCTCTTTCTATCTCTGGCTCTCTCTTTGTTGCTCTGGCCTTCCAGATAAATTAAAAATCAATGAACTAGGCCGGCGCCACGGCTCACTAGGCTAATCCTCCGCCTAGCAGCGTCGGCACACCGGATTCTAGTCCCAGTTGGGGCGCTGGATTCTGTCCCAGTTGCCAGCTCTCTGCTGTGGCCAGGGAGTGCAGTGGAGGATGGCCCAGGTGCTTGGGCCCTGCACCCCATGGGAGACCAGGAAAAGCACCTGGCTCCTGGCTCCTGCCTTCGGATCAGCGCGGTGCGCCGGCCGCAGCGCGCCGGCCGCGGCGGCCATTGGAGGGTGAACCAACGGCAAAGGAAGACCTTTCTCTCTGTCTCTCTCTCTCACTGTCCACTCTGCCTGTCAAAAAATAAAATAATAAAAAATAAATAAAAAAAATCAATGAACTTGTAAAAAAATTTTAAAAGCTAAACACAAAATTACTTATTGAATGATTCAGTTAATTCTACTTCTAGGTTGATGCCAAAGAATTAAAAACAGGGGCTCAAACACAAGCAACAGTGTCCACATCATTATTCCCAAGAGTCGAAAGGTGGTGACACCTAGATCAACAAATGAACAGATCCACACTTGGGCTGTAACCATGCAAGGAACAGTGTTCAGCCACAGAAGGAACGAGTCTCACGTGGGCTACTGCACGGATGAAGCTCACCTAGACCAGGCACCTAGCTCAGCAGCTGCCAGGGCCCGGGCGGGTGGGGGAGGAGGGAGGGAGTTTGCTCACGAGCACAGTTCTGTGCGGAAGGCGCGTTTGCAAACAGTGCGGCAGTGCTGACGGCTGTCACGCTGCCACTGCTTAATGGCAAAGTCGTGCACGTACGCAGGGAAGCCTCCAGCAACGGCCTCTGCACGCAGGCTGGGGAAGTGGACCGTGCGGGGACATGTGGAGACGTCAGTCCCCTCACAGACAGACTTGAGAGAGGAGGCGAGCCTCCCGACCAGGGCCGTGTCCCCAGCTGCCGGCTGGCACAGCCTTCTCTGTCGGGGACTGGCCACTTCCCCAGCAAACGACCACTCAGTGTAGACTCTGCCAGGTGCTGGCTGGGCACTGGCCTCTGCTGCTTGGCCATCCAGGCCCTTCAGTGGCCCAGGTGTGGGCTTGCCCCGGGCTGGACCCACGATACTCTAACCCGTCAAGGCACGGCTCGTCTGCCCCAGCCTGCCAGAACCCTGTCCATGCTCAGGAGAGAACGGGACATACAGACGCGGGGCTGCTCGGGGCCTTGTCCTCGCAGTTTCCAGCTGTGATGCACTCACGGCACCCAGGAACCGAGTGCCTCCGGGCAGACCATCAGCAGAGGTCCACGTCCACTACTGCCCACTCCCGCCTCTCGCACAAGTGCAGTTTCCACTCAAGTAACCCCCCCCTTTTCCCAGAAGCCTTTACTATCGTTTCTGCTTGCACCTGGGGCCCTGCAGGGACCAGCGAGTGAAGCGGGAGAGCGCCGCTCCTGTCTCAGCGCAGGGCTCTCCTCTCCCGCCCCAGCCTCTGCCCCCAGCACTGCTGCTCCACACCCACGCTGGGCACGGGCCCACGGGCACACTCTAGGTGGGACTCCAGGGTTCTGCTCAGGCTGGGGCGCTCAATGAAGAAGGAGCAGGGTCCTCCTGACAGAAGCCCCTGCCACGCTTCCTGTGACCACTGGACCCTGCCTGGTGGCCCCCAGCCAGCTTCCTGTCTGCCCATGCGCACTCAAGTGCTTCGGGCACGTTTCGTGTTCCGATTTTGATCTCTCCAGGCTCCATGCCTCCTACTCTTCCTATTTCTCTCTCCGCAACCAAAGTCAGGGCTTCCATGAGAAAAAGACGTCGAGTTTACGCCTCAATCTTCTCGTGGGCTCCTGGCTGACAGTGCAGCACTGCGCTGCTCTCTCTCTGGATCTCATCCTGCACTGTGCGAGGCTCAGCACGAGGAGCAAGGCCATCCTCAGCTAGAGCAGGGCTTTGGGTTGAGAGGAAAGTGACAGTGAAAGCCAGGACCCCGTGCCTGACTCGAGAGAAGACAAATCCTGAAAAACGTCAAAATAAGGTCATGGGTAATTCAACCCCAAGCAGGTGATGGCTGCCTGGCCCCAGACATCACTGTCAGAGTTCAGAGTGATCAGAGGGCTGGGTCCCTGGGCCTCAGGGCACACACAGACCAGGGAGAAGAAGAGAAGGATGGGGGGGGGGGGACAGCTGGGCAGTCAAGGAGACATGGCGAGCAAGCAGGGACGGCTCTGTCGGAAGGGAACAAGGCTGGTCCCGTCCACACAGGTCCCCGCCGTTCCCGACGGCGGAGGCAGCCCTGCACAACCCGCCAACCACCTCACGGCGAGACGCTCACGTGCTTGGTCCCAGCTCTGCACTGCCACCGGGAGGAGGCTGGTGGCCGAGGGGAACCTACCTGCTCAGCTGGGCCTCCTCACCGGCCCCCGGCTCACTCTCAGAAGCTACATCTCTCCGGGCAGAGAGTGAGCTGAGGGAGGCAGAGCGGCGCCGCGTGCTGACCTCGCGTGCGCCCCTCGCGCCACCCCCTCGCCCCGTGCGCTGTGGCGGGGCTGTCCCCTTACTTCTTTTCTGGGTAAGGCTCGAAGGATTCATCTGAGGACTGGGGATGCTGCTTCCTGGTGTTGTCATCGTCACTCGGGCAATATCTAGGAAAGAAGAGGGAGCCTTGAGCGAAGCCCTGGCCCGCAGTGGGGGACAGACCCAAGGACTCCTGTCTCAGGCCCGTGAGAACCCCAGCCCCATGTTTTAGTCCTCCTGAAAATCACGTGGAAAACCTAAGATTCCCCAGGTCTCCAATCCCTTTCCTAAGAGGACAGAGCAGGTCACCAGAAGCGCACACGCTGGCCACCCCGGAAGCCGGCTCTCCAGGACCCCAAGCTCAGGAACGGCCTTACGGTGCTGCCCAGGAGGTGCGAAGACCTCAGGAGACGGCTTCTGGACAGAGGGCGTCTTCCGCCAGTCACGCCCTACCGTGTGACTGCGAGCGCGCGCTCGGCTGACAGCTTCACCGTCAGCCACTTCCACACGCAACACAAAGGCAGAGAAAGACCCGATGTCTGCCCTGAGGCGTGGCTTTCTGCTTAGTCTGCAGGGCTGCAAACAGCCAGGCTGGCAGGCCCACAGTCGCTCCTCACGGGCCACCACGGCCTGGATGGAGAAAGGCCTGAGATTGGCTGGCAGCCTGAGGCCGGCCTCGAGCCATCTGCTTCCTCACCGGGTACCCCACTGGGGTTGTACCAAAAGCCAGCTGCATGGGGTTCGCAGGGCGAACGCCAGCCTGGAGTGTGGCAGTTGTTCTGAGCAGCGGTCACCCAGAGGCCGGGGCTGGCCTGGGGGCCCACTCCAGGACTGTCCGCCCTCCCTGCCTCCTGCACAGGGACTCTGCTGCAAGTCCCAACAGGGTCATCACAAAGGGCTAGAATCTGGCTTCCTCTGGCCTGGTGACATCCGGGGTTGGTACGAAACTGAGGCCTTTAAGGGAGAAACAGCAGGCAGAAGCAAATGACCCCAGCACAGCACAGTTCCAAGTAACTCCACACTGCTCTGGGTCAGACACAGCACAGCAGCAGCCAGCGGCCTCCGCAGCTGCGTCAGGTCCCGGGACCCTCTGGGACCTGGCCACTCCTCTCCTCCCACCACAACAGGGACAGCGTCCCGAGCAGGGCGTGGGCAACGGCCCCCAGGATGGCCAACTCTGGTTTTCGAAGGAGAAACATTAGGCTATTTAAACCCACTCTTCTCTCACCCCTCAGAAAGGTCACTGAACTCGTCTTTTACCCGATCATCCGAGGTTGAAGAGGGAACCTGCTTCTCACCCAATTGCCCTGAGAAACAAAGAACAGGCTCCTGTTACCGACACAGCACGGCAAAGCACCTCACCTCCCTCAGCTGACGGCACAGCCTTCGTGATGGGAACCTGGGGTGCCCTAGCCTCAAACCCACTACCTCCTCGCCCAGCCCCAACCCCTGTCCGCCACAGCCACAGCGCCGAGATCAGAAACCCTGGGGGACAGTCCACCGTGGCAAGGCCGGCTCCTCCCCTACAGATTCAGGTCCAGCTGCAGGTGGGACCGAGCTGTACTCTGTGCGAAATGTGTTTTCAGACATTCTTAAAGCTGCCGTTATCAACGTATCACATACACAGCACTTACAAAGCCGAGCAGGTCTAAGCTGCCTGCGACACACGACTCCGTTCCCCACCTGCAGCCGGCCGTGGGGCTGTGTGCCACCCGAGTGTCTGTCCAGCTGAACCAGCTGAGGACTCCCGGGGGGGGGCTAGCCATGTACAGGCAAGACAGAAGGGGCAAGCACGAAGCTGGCCATGGCCCTAACACAAAACTCTGGGCAGTCACCCCAAAGTCTGCCGTATGCGGACAGGGCCTGGTCCCCAGGGAAGGACCCTGTGTTTCCCTCAGCCCGGCAGTAGGCGTCACCGGGGAGCCGGCTGACACCAGGGCCTCATTCTCTTCCCCACGTCCCACAGACAAGGGCCCTGTTCTTCCCTCTTCCGCGGCTCCTGAACCACCAGACAGACTGGCGCACTCGGCCCGGAGCACAGGCTCGCAGAGGCTAGGCACCAGGCGAACTTGTCCTCACACCAACTGATAACCCGGGTCCTGCTTGTGCAGGAACAAGCGGCCGAGACAGGCTGGTGCTGTGGCGCAGCATCCCGTCAGCACTGGCTCAAGTTCCGGCTGCTCCTATTCCGACCCAGATCCCTGTTAACGTGCCTGGGAAGGCAGTCGAAGACGGCCCAAGTGCTGGGGCCCCTGCACCTGTGCGGGAGACCAGGAAGAAGCTCCAGGCTCCTGATCATTGCAGCCATCTGGGAAGTAAACCAGCAGATGGAAGACATTTCTCTCTCTCTCTCTCTAACTCTGCCTCTCAAATATAAGCAAATCTTTTAAAAAGAAAGAGTCTTACTAGAAAATAAAGCCTGAGAGAGGCTGGCAGCCGTGCCCGCTGTGCCCAGGGCCGCACACAGTTGCCACTCACAGGAGCACTGACTGGCTCCCTGTCTTCCCACCCTCGGGGCGCCACATCGTGATCCCACCCCGCTCAGGAAAATGCAATCCTGGTCTAGAATAGGTCAAACGTGCTTCCTACCTGGGGCCCCAATGAGGGGTGGGCTTGGCTGCGGTGGGGGGCCTGGCCCAGGCCCCATAGGGTTGCCATCTGGAGGAGGGGCCACGTCCATGCTGGGCAGTGTGGTCCCTCTGCCCTGGGAGACCTGAGGGGCAGTCCCCGAGGGGCTGGATGCCTGGCTGTGGGTGAGCTGCGGTGCCATCTCCTTGTCCCACGCCCACTTCACTGACAAGGCGCTGTCCAGCAGGAGGGCCCTGCAGCTGGAGTCAGTGTCCATGGTGTAGTTGTGGCCCTGGTCGCAGCCCCACATGGCCTGGATGACACCACAGTACTCGGAGGCCAGCGTTCTCTGAAGGGTGGGTAGGGCCCCGCAGCTGGCTGCGTGTCCATGCACCCACCCTACCAAGCTGTGCAGGCACCGAGAGCTGGAGGTGATGAGATCCCCTGAGGAATCAGCAGAGACGTCAGCCCATGGCTGCAAGCACCCAGCCCACCCTAGGAGCCCACTCTTGCACCCAGGACGGGCAACTCACCTAGAAACGCTCCCTCCTCCGCCACCGTTGGGGGCTGGGCGCCGACCCTGTAAAGATTCAGTAGCCTCTGAAACCTGTCTATCCCATCACACTCAGAGCCCAGATAAAACCTAAAACAATCCTCACACTCAGAGCCCTGTGTAAACCTGTTGATCCACTCACACCCAGACCTGTGCACCCCTGGCCATCACCCTTACACTTGGAGCCCTGAGTACACCCATACATCTTCTTTTTTTTTTTGACAGGCAGAGTGGACAGTGAGAGAGAGAGACAGAGAGAAAGGTCTTCCTTTTGCCGTTGGTTCACTCTCCAATGGCTGCTGTGGCCGGCGCGCTGCGCAGATCTGAAGCCAGGAGCCAGGTGCTTCTCCTGGTCTCCCATGGGGTGCAGGGCCCAAGGACCTGGGCCATCCTCCACTGCACTCCCGGGCCACAGCAGAGAGCTGGCCTGGAAGAGGGGCAACCGGGACAGAATCTGGCGCCCCGACCGGGACTAGAAGCCGGTGTGCCGGTGCCGCAAGGCGGAGGATTAGCTTAGTGAGCTACGGCGCCGGCCACCCATACATCTTCTAATACTCAGTAGTGCGGGCACATCTGTCCACCCCTCACACTCAGAACCTGTGTGAACCTGCCCATTCCTGCATACACAGGGCTGAGTATAAACCTGTGCATTCACTGAGAGCCCTAAGTGTGTCCACCCCTCACACTCAGAACCTGTGTAAACCTGTCCACCTCTACACCCACAGCCTGTGTGAACCTGTCCACTGTCACACCCACAGCCTGTATAAACCAGTCCACCCCTACACCCAGAGACTGTGTAAACCTGTCCACCCTCATACCCAGAGCCTGTGTAAACATGTTCAAATCTGTCCATTCCCTTCACAGGCAGAACCAGTGTGAACCTGCCCATCCCCCACACTCACACTCAGATCCTGTGTGAACCTGTCCATCCCTCACACTCACACTCAGATCCTGTGTGAACCTGTTCACGCCTCACACTCAGACTCAGATCCTGTGTGAACCTGTCCATCCCCCACACTCACACTCAGATCCTGTGTGAACCTGTCCATCCCCCACACTCACACTCAGATCCTGTGTGAACCTGTCCATCCCTCACACTCACACTCAGATCCTGTGTGAACCTGTCCATCCCTCACACTCACACTCACACTCAGATCCTGTGTGAACCTGTCCATCCCCTCACACTCACACTCACACTCAGATCCTGTGTGAACCTGCCCATCCCCCACACTCACACTCAGATCCTGTGTGAACCTGTCCATCCCTCACACTCACACTCACACTCAGATCCTGTGTGAACCTGTCCATCCCTCACACTCACACTCACACTCAGATCCTGTGTGAACCTGTCCATCCCTCACACTCACACTCACACTCAGATCCTGTGTGAACCTGTCCATCCCCCACACTCACACTCAGATCCTGTGTGAACCTGTCCATCCCTCACACTCACACTCAGATCCTGTGTGAACCTGTCCATCCCCCACACTCACACTCAGATCCTGTGTGAACCTGTTCACGCCTCACACTCAGACTCAGATCCTGTGTGAACCTGTCCATCCCCCACACTCACACTCAGATCCTGTGTGAACCTGTCCATCCCCCACACTCACACTCAGATCCTGTGTGAACCTGTCCATCCCTCACACTCACACTCACACTCACACCCTGTGTGAACCTGCCCATCCCTCACACTCACACTCAGATCCTGTGTGAACCTGTCCATCCCTCACACTCACACTCACACTCAGATCCTGTGTGAACCTGTCCATCCCTCACACTCACACTCACACTCAGATCCTGTGTGAACCTGTCCATCCCTCACACTCACACTCACACTCAGATCCTGTGTGAACCTGTCCATCCCTCACACTCACACTCACACTCACACCCTGTGTGAACCTGTCCATCCCTCACACTCACACTCAGATCCTGTGTGAACCTGCCCATCCCCCACACTCACACTCAGATCCTGTGTGAACCTGTCCATCCCTCACACTCACACTCACACTCAGATCCTGTGTGAACCTGTCCATCCCCCACACTCACACTCAGATCCTGTGTGAACCTGTCCATCCCCCACACTCACACTCACACCCTGTGTGAACCTGTCCATCCCTCACACTCACACTCAGATCCTGTGTGAACCTGTCCATCCCTCACACTCACACTCAGACTCAGATCCTGTGTGAACCTGTCCATCCCTCACACTCACACTCACACTCAGATCCTGTGTGAACCTGTCCATCCCCCACACTCACACTCACACTCAGATCCTGTGTGAACCTGTCCATCCCTCACACTCACACTCACACTCAGATCCTGTGTGAACCTGTCCATCCCCCACACTCACACTCAGATCCCGTGTGAACCTGTTCACGCCTCACACTCAGACTCAGATCCTGTGTGAACCTGTCCATCCCCCACACTCACACTCAGATCCTGTATGAACCTGTCCATCCCCCACACTCACACTCAGATCCTGTGTGAACCTGTCCATCCCTCACACTCACACTCACACTCACACCCTGTGTGAACCTGCCCATCCCTCACACTCACACTCAGATCCTGTGTGAACCTGTCCATCCCTCACACTCACACTCACACTCAGATCCTGTGTGAACCTGTCCATCCCTCACACTCACACTCACACTCAGATCCTGTGTGAACCTGTCCATCCCTCACACTCACACTCACACTCAGATCCTGTGTGAACCTGTCCATCCCTCACACTCACACTCACACCCTGTGTGAACCTGTCCATCCCTCACACTCACACTCACACTCAGATCCTGTGTGAACCTGTCCATCCCCCACACTCACACTCAGATCCTGTGTGAACCTGTCCATCCCCCACACTCACACTCACACCCTGTGTGAACCTGTCCATCCCCCACACTCACACTCAGATCCTGTGTGAACCTGCCCATCCCCCACACTCACACTCAGATCCTGTGTGAACCTGTCCATCCCTCACACTCACACTCAGATCCTGTGTGAACCTGTCCATCCCCCACACTCACACTCAGATCCTGTGTGAACCTGTCCATCCCCCACACTCACACTCAGATCCTGTGTGAACCTGTCCATCCCCCACACTCACACTCAGATCCTGTGTGAACCTGTCCATCCCCCACACTCACACTCAGATCCTGTGTGAACCTATCCATCCCTCACACTCACACTCAGATCCTGTGTGAACCTGTCCATCCCCCACACTCACACTCAGATCCTGTGTGAACCTGTCCATCCCCCACACTCACACTCAGATCCTGTGTGAACCTGTCCATCCCCCACACTCACACTCAGATCCTGTGTGAACCTGTCCATCCCTCACACTCACTCAGATCCTGTGTGAACCTGTCCATCCCTCACACTCACACTCAGATCCTGTGTGAACCTGTCCATCCCCCACACTCACACTCAGATCCTGTGTGAACCTAGTCCATCCCCCACACTCACACTCAGATCCTGTGTGAACCTGTCCATCCCCCACACTCACACTCAGATCCTGTGTGAACCTGTCCATCCCCCACACTCACACTCAGATCCTGTGTGAACCTGTCCATCCCTCACACTCACACTCAGATCCTGTGTGAACCTGTCCATCCCCACACTCACACTCAGATCCTGTGTGAACCTGTCCATCCCTCACACTCACACTCAGATCCTGTGTGAACCTGTCCATCCCCCACACTCACACTCAGATCCTGTGTGAACCTGTCCATCCCTCACACTCACACTCACACCCTGTGTGAACCTGTCCATCCCCCACACTCACACTCACACCCTGTGTGAACCTGTCCATCCCCCACACTCACACTCAGATCCTGTGTGAACCTGTCCATCCCCCACACTCACACCCTGTGTGAACCTGTCCATCCCTCACACTCACACTCAGATCCTGTGTGAACCTGTCCATCCCCCACACTCACACTCACACCCTGTGTGAACCTGTCCATCCCTCACACTCACACTCAGATCCTGTGTGAACCTGTCCATCCCCCACACTCACACTCACACCCTGTGTGAACCTGTCCATCCCTCACACTCGGAATCCAACATATACATGTCCAACTCCTTTACCCTCCGTTGAGTACCCTGTCCTTTTCCCTTCACAACACCTGGGGGTGCTCCCAACTGCCTCTGCAGAACCAGGCACAGCTTGCCCACCCCACAGCAAAGCTCCCACCAGCACTCCCTGGCCCTAGAGCAGCCGCTCAACCTGCAGTGAGACCTACTTTGCACAAGGCTTCCGCTGGCCCATCGGGGAGACATTCACTCTCTGCAGGAAGGACTCCAGGAGGCTGTGGCACTGGTAGAACTGGGCATGGCAGTTCCTGCAGACAAACTGAGACAAGGCTGGATCCTGGTGCACAGCCACACCCAGCAGGCGCTGGAAGTCCCTGACGAACACACGCTCCCCTGGGAACGGCCTTTCTGCGCTGTCCCCAGACGCCCTGTCAGAAATGCTTCGCAGACTCCGGGAGGAGAACTTCCCGTGGCAGAGGCGGCAGTGTCCCATGGCAAGAGCCCGGCCAGCCCTGGGGAAAGCAGGAGAGGACGTAACAGTGAGTGGGCACAGGGCCTCCGTGGCACAAGTGCCGAGAAACTGAGGGGTCTAGGGCCGGTGCTGTGGCATAGCGGGTAGAGCCGCCACCTGCAGTGCCGGCATCCCATACGGGCACTGGTTCGAGTCCTGGCTGTTCCAGTCCAGCTCTCTGCTGTGGCCTGGGAAAGCAGTAGAAGACGACCCAGGTCCTTGGGCCCCTGTACCCACGCGGGAGACCTGGAGGAAGCTCCTGACTTCGGATCAGGGCAGCTCCGGCCATCGCGGCCATCTGGGGAGTGAACCAGCGGATCGAAGGCCTCTGTCTGTAACTCTGCCTTTCAAATAAATACAGATCTTTAAAAAAAAAAAAAAGAAAAGAAAGAGAGGGAGGGAGGCAGGTGTCTGTGGCCTGAGGCTCCCGCCCTATCAACAGCCTCCTGGGCATCTGGCTGAGGGAAGGACTGAAGCGGGTGTTCCTGGCTGAGCACCCAGCCTTCAAGGGCATGGGCTCGGAACAAGGCCACCGGCCCTAGGGGCCTTTCCAAGAACTGTGAATGCCCCTCGCGCCATCTCTGTGGGACTGAAAGCCAAAGAGCAGCGTCAAGGCTGCGCCTTCAGGGAAACAATCGGCATGTTCAGCGTCTGCCCGGGCTTCCTCTCGGCCAGGTGTAGGGGATGCCCAACAGTTAAGACAGGCCCACACCCCGTATCGGAGTCCCTGGCTCCACGCCGGCTCCAGCTCCCGACCCGCTTCCTGCTAATGCAGAGCCGTGGAGGCAGTGGAGACGGCAGGCGGCGGTGGGTCGCTGCCACCCTGGACTGCACTCCCAGCCCCCAGTACTGCGGAGTGACCACCGGCGGGAGAGCTGCTTCCTCCACACAGGAATCAACAAGAGAAGCCACGAGCCGCCAGCGGCAAAGGGCCGGCAGGGAGCAAGCGGGTCACACAGTGGAGTCAGTTCTCACCAGACCCTCCGGGTCCACTCAACCAACAGAAGACGGGGACGCAAAGAGGGAAGCGATTCTCCCGAAGTCTCAAAGCACGAGACAAGACCGCGTGGAAGCCCAGACCTGTCTGATCCGAAGCTTGATCCTAGGGCCAGGCGGCTGTGTGGACACAGGTCCCGGGCAGAGGCCGGAAGGGGCAGCGGAGTCGACCTGCGCTCGGCCCGCACCCGCCGGAAGGGGCCTCTTTCGGGGGAAGGCGCAGTCGGCTGTGGGCCGCCAGGCCGCGCGCAGGGGCGTACGAGGTCACCGGGCCTCCGAGCCGGCTGGACCCACCTCGCCCGCCGGCCTGCGCCGAACCCAGCCAAATCGTGCCGCCGCCACCCTGGCGGCCTTCCACGTTCGGGGCGGCGGACCCGAGCCGGCCCGAGGCCCGAGGCCCAGCGCTGCCGGGCCGCCCTGGGCGACAGGAAGCGCCCGAGCCGGCCCCGCTGCAGGGCGCCGCCCGGCCCCCGCGACCCAGATGGAGTGGGGCAGAGGAACGCGGCGGCGCCCCGCGGACCCACGTCGAACCCCGCCGCCGCTCCCCGCTCCGGCCCCAGGGCGACAGTGCCCGCTGCTGCCGCCTACAGGGCGCGGCCCCCAGAGCTCGCGGCCGGCCAGCGCCTCCGCCTCCGCCTCTCACCGGTAGGAGCCAGGCCCAGGGCGGGCGGACGCCGGCACAGGCTCCAAGGCAGGTCCTCGACGCGGAGGGAAACGCCGCTGCTGCGCCGACTCGCTCTCGGCAGCTCCCAAGAAGGCCCCTCCGTCTCTCCAACCCGCGGGCCCGCCCCCAGGCCCTGACAGGACCCGCCCGGCGCCCAGCCGCCCGCCCGCCCGCCCGCCGGCCTCCTCCCCGCGGGCAGCCGGAAGTGCCCCGCGCCCCTTCCGGAAGTACCTCCGCGCCCCTTCCGGCGGTCCGCTGCTCCGGCGGGCCCCGCGCCCGCGCCCCTGCGTTCCGCGCTGCGGCCGCCCGTCCCGCCCCTCGGCCGCCTCGGCCGCCGGCCGTCGCCGCGTCGCCGCCCGGCGCCATGGCCGCTGCGGCCGGGGACGCCGCGGTGAAGCCGCTGCAGAGCGCCATGAAGTTGGCCAACGGAGCCATCGAGCTGGACACCGGCAACCGGCCCCGGGTGAGGCGAGGCGGGGGCGGAGCTCGGGCGCCGCGGCGCTCTCCGGGGGTCCCGGTGCCGCCCGGCGGGGGTCGCACTTGGGCTCTGCCCCGCGCCGGGGTCGCGGGGGCCGGGCAGAGCCGTCCTTGCGCCTGGCGGTTCCTGGGCGAGAGGACGGAGGCCCTGGACCCCCCGGCTGGCTCTTGACCTTGGACAGCTCCCAGCCCCCTGCTGGCCTCGGTCTCCCGGGCTGTCCGGTGGGCCCGTGACCCAGAGCCCGGCCTCGCTGGCGGAGTGGACTCACGGCGGCCGGAAAGCAGCCGGCCTCGCGCTGGGCCGGGCGGCCGCGGCGGGCGAGCCCGGGCAGGGGCGTGACTGGTCCCCGCGCGTGGGGCGCGCCCCGGGCCGAGGCGCCGGCTGGGCCGCCCAGGAGGCGCGAGGAGCCCGCGCGGGCCGGGGAGAGGCACCCTCGTTCCCGAGGTGCGTTTGTGGGCAGCAGCAGCCCTGCAACCAGAGATCCTGCCTGGAACCCATTTTGTCCTTAAGACGGGCGGCTTGACAACTGAAGTAAAACAGGCGCGCCCCGGTGCCCTGAGCCCTGGCCCCTGGCGAGTGTTCCGCCCGGGCTGGGGTTCGGAGAAAGGGATTTCCCAGACCCGAGCCAGGAAGTGTCCCAAGACTTGCAACAGCCCTCCCTCTAGTTTGCTCGGAAGCCACTGGCTGAGTGACCCTTGGGCTGACAGGAAGGAACTCCTTGCACAGTGAGAAGTGGCAGCTCTCCCTCCCCGTGGGAACCTCAGGCCCTCCCTAGCTGGAGAGACTGGCAGCGAGGGGGAGGACGGGCGCTCACCGCGCGAGGCAGTCCTGTGGGAAGAGGGGCTCTGACACAGCTGCAGTCCCTGCCGGGCACACCTCGGAGGACCCCTGCAGGCGGCTTGTTCCCGGGCTTCCCGCAAGGGGCCAGGCAGGCAGGGGGCTCCTCCCGTCTGCTGGCCTGACCCCGCTGTCTCCACAGGAGGCATATACGGAATACCTGCGGAGCGTCCACTACATCTCCCAGGTGCTGCTGGAAGAAATGGAGAGGGCCAAGGGTATGGCTTCGCCTCTGCTCCTTCCTGGGCACTGGTCCCGGATCTAGGGGTCTTCCTGCAGCCTGGTCATTGGCTGTCCAGCCACACAGTGTCGGGGTGACGCAGCAATGGGGGCAGACACTGAGTGGGCACCCATGGTCCACAGAGTCCACGGGTGGGCAGGAAGGAGTGAGTTTCACTGAGGTGGGGCATTCCCAGCAGAGGGGCATGCAAGGATGGGCAGGGCTGCTTCCGGGAAGCTCACGGAGGCTTTGAGCCCCAAGGAGGTGGGGGGAGCCCAGGTCTTGTGGAGGGAACTTGAAGGTGAACCCAGGCAGGTGGGGACGGAAGCAGCCGTGTGAAGGGAGGATGGGGAGCTCCACTGTGCACACATCACATGAGAGGTGCCCAGAGCTGGAGGCCGCCCAGCGCCAGGCAGCGAGTGAGCTCCGTGCGCTCCTGCAGGCTCCTGGGGCCCTGGGAGGTGGAGGGCAGGAGCAGCCCCGACCGAGAGCACACAGAGAGCTGGAGTGGAAGCTGGGATGTGCAAGGACAGGTTCAGGGGTGTCAGGAGCTCAAGCGGTGTGGAACGAGGAGAGGCAGCCGGCAAGTGGCCCACTCTGGAGCATGCCAGCAGCGTGTTGGGTAGCAAACGAGGTGCTGGCGCCCCACCCTCGGGAAGCCAGGCTTGTGGGCACAGACATTGGGGGGTATGTGCCAGAAGACCCCCTCGGCACATCCCTCTTTGTGCACTGGACCCATGGAGAGAGCAGGCTCCACCTTCATAGCGAGACCCTCCACAAGGAACAGGGGCTCCAGTTAGGCAGAGCCGCGCTGATGTTGGGCTGGACAAGCGTGGCCATGCAGGGAGCCCGGGGCAGGTGACGGTGCGCAGCATGGGCTGGCCCAGCGTCCCACTCCCTGGTGTCCATCCCTGTGAGCGCCTGACTTGTGATGGAGCTGACTGACCAGCCTTCTTGTCCGGTCCCCAGAGGCCGGGGACGCGGTGCCCCCTGACACTCCCAAGATGCTGAAGCTGGCTGAGCAGTGTCTGGAGAGGGCCCAGTCGACGGCAGCCAAGCTCGGTGGGTCCCCAGCAGGAGGAGGCTCCCTTGGGGCGGCCCCACAGCTGCATCTCTGTGGGACACGGGCCCACGTGCTAACCCCTGGATGTGTGTGGCTTGCAGGCAAAACGCACCTGAAGCCAGCCACGCCTGTGGCTGTTCCAGGCCCCTGTCCTGCCAGCCGGCACCGCCGCGTGTGCTCGGATGAAGGAGGGAAGCTGTCTCCTTTTTTGCCACCCGAAATCTTCCAGAGACTTCAGGTGGTAGAGGCACACAGCTCTAAGAGGTAAGAGGGGCGAGACGGGACGTGGGCTGAGCCTGGGGCTGGGCTGGAGGCAGTGAACACAGCTCCCACGGGTCCCAGAAGGGGACCCCTGCTCTACCCTGCATAAAGGAAGTGGCACACAGGCCGAGGCAGCCGAGCAGAGAACGAGAATCGCAGGGCAGAGGCGGACCCCCGCCTTCCCGAGAGCAGTCAGACACGCCTGTCTTTAGAGAAACAAGACGTGCAGGGGAAATACCTGCGGGAAACAAAACTATGAAACCTGACCCAGAAAATAAAGGACCAAGTAGAAGGGAAACAAAAAATCCAATACTAAAATGATTTTCAGAAAACTAGCAGGAGTCAGGCGTCAGCTGAGCACCTGACGCCGTGTCCCGCGCGGCCCGGCTCCGGCTCCGGCTCCGGCTCCGACTCCGGCTAGTGTGGAACCTGGGGGCAGCAGCGGTGGCTCGAGCCGTGGTGCTCCTGCCGCCTGCCGGGGA